GGTAGGTAGGTCCGTAGGTAGGTAGGCAGGTAGGTAGGTAGGTAGGTAGGCAGGTAGGCAGGCAGGCAGGCAGGCAGGTAGGTAGGTAGGTAGGTAGGTCGGATGGACGGATGGATTGATAGATAGACAAGTATGCCGGTCGATCACAAGGCACACTTCCTGGTGTTCCGGGTGCATTCCGGTAACAGTACTCGAATCTCTGGGTTGCGGGCTTGAACTGAAAGTCTGGATTTGGCTGTGCCAGAGACGGCACCCAGAGCCAGCCCTCGGTGTAGTGCCTTGCAGCCACGACGCACAAGGCTTATGAATTCGGAAGTCGGGCTGTCTGCAATTATTGCTAGCATCATGTCACAAACTTCAAAAGCCTAGAAAGCCTTTAGAGCTGCTTATGCCCTCCGGGCTTCAACTCTTGATCCTAGCCGAGATTCGGGAACTTTTCGGCGGCGAGGCGGCGCCAAACACCGTAGAGACTCCTGACGGCACAGAAACGATAAAGCTTTCGAAGCGAATTGATGTCAGGCAGAGTTTAGTTTTGCTTATGCTGCTGAATTCGACCGAGAAAAGTCTGCAAGCGCTCGTCGTAGGATAACAAACGACGACACAAAGAGCCGTTCTTCGAGGCGAAGGCTGAGATCCTCTGAGGAGCAGTTCGTGTCTACACCCCTATGCAAAGCAAGGCACCAGAAGATGGGCAGCTGCAGAAATACCGGAAGGCATCCTCCCAACCTTAGTCGCTCGGTATCTCGATTGCACGAATCGGAGAAGCCGGTGATTGCTGAGTTCTCTCTCCGTGTCTTTGGGCTCCTGCGGGTTCACGTCCATGACACCGTAGAGCTGTCCCAGCAGACGCTGTTGCGTGTCCGGGTCGTCCTCAGCTTTCTTTGCACGAAGTTCTCTGTCAAACTCGAGAATCACCGGAACAGAAGCTTATGCATGTAGCGTTCGACTCTAACTTCATACTGCTATGATTGGTGCTAGGTCATGGATGCCAGGGCCAGTACAGTTGAAAGCTGCATAAGCAGGGCTGTGCCCGGCCTTGTATTTCTCCTGGATCTCCTTCACCTTCGGGCTCAGGATCTGCATCATGGAAGTGCTCTTCAGCTGGCCCTGGCAAGATGAGTTGAGACTAGTTGAGACGATGTACGTACTCAGGTGGCGCAGGGCAGAGGGGCTCGAGCCTGCTGCAATGGGAAGAAGAGGAGCTTGATGAAAGCAGTGTAGGCGACGATGGTCCAGCCGAAGGCTTGCTCTACGCCTTCGATTCCAGTGTGGAAACTTCAGACCTACCCTCAGAAAGGGATGCGACTAAGCCCGCGGCCGTTGTCCCTCAAGGCCTGGTCAATTTGCTTGATGAGACCGGCTTGGAAGCCGATAAAGCCGTTCCACCAGTCATCAGGAAGAGGTTTGTTATTCATTGGATCCACAAGGACAGCGCCATCTGCCCCGTAGAGATACGTGACGTTCGGGTCCAGTTCAATGGGCTTTGCATCAGCTGCATATGCTGGAGGCACGATCTCGCGGGCTAGGCGACCTGCTGCTTCAGAGAAGATCTCGGTGAGCTGCTGTACTGCGGCAGCAACTCCTTCCGCACTGGATGGATTGTCTCCTGCCTGCAAACCCTGTGTGAAGTGCTGCAGCAGTTGAGTGCTTTGCTCTTCCAAGCCGCTCCACACATGTGGGTGTAGCAGGTCGATGCTTTCGGGAGGCACAGCGGCCTTCGTCACCTTCGCCAGCCGCCGCTTCAACAGCTTCGGACGATGACGCCGCGCACTGGACAGAACCCCGACGGTTGCCACCGCTGCCGCCGCACTTAGGCTTGCCCCGCTGTGTCTTGGCAGGGCGGTATTACCGGTCTGAGGAGCACGGTGTGCCGCCGCTGCACGCGCAGTGGCCTGCGCCACGAAGGCCTCTGACAATTCCATGGGAGTCCTTTTGCTCCACTCAACACTCAAAAACTGACATCTAGAAAAAGTCAGCTGCAGGATGCAAGGTTTTGTATCAAACAGGCACTGTCGAGGCGCCCCTGCTTGCACACGTACTGAGAATCAGGTCAAGCCCCCAGCATCGAGGAATGATCCTTGTTAGCTTCCGCAGGCTGCCAGAATGTTCCCTAGGCCGCGCGATTTGCACGGAGTGCTCGAGGACTCCGCTGGACATGCCACACATGCTGGCGCAAAGAAGTTAGAGGAAAGAGCTGCAGCATGTCCCTACGGAATCATCGAAGGTAAAATTAACGGTTCGACATGGCAGCGTAGCGGACGGGCGCTCACCGTATGCTGTTTCATGCTGTCTGGGACATACAATGCGTATTCAGCGAGTGTCATCATTCTTGAAAGATGGGAAGGACTCCGAGTGTTGCATCACTGCCGTGGCCCCAGAAAAATCCTACGGTCTGGCGCAGCCTTGCAACCCTTCAGAAGTCGTCAGAGTTCGTCGAAGGACTGGCCATCGGAGTAGGATCCAAAGGGCACGTAGTCTGCCTACCAGTCGACACAAACTCCCGGCTAAGAAGTGTAGCATCCAACTGAATGTAACTCAACCTGCACTTGCTCTGCACAGGGCAATTGTATTGGACCATGAGCCAGGCATGTAGGCCTCAATCTTGTCCTCACCCTCCGGCAGTACAAGCCTTAACGCAAGGTAGTAGCGACGCAGGCTGCATTCAAAGGGGACACACATATCAAACCACAGTGGCCAACAAACAAGGAGCAGCAAAGTTCGGGCAATCTAACCGCAAGCCACCGAACCGTCGCTACTGCGTGAGGTCTTATACTGCCGCCAAACCACTCTGGAAAGCAGTATATCTGCCTGCAGTTCTTCGTCCTCGGCTGTCCCGCATTGTCAAATCGGTGAGCTCCGCTGAGAGTCTCTGGATCATCCTGATCCAAGCTCCGTGCGGGCCAAAGTCGAAGGGGTTCTGTCCATCCCTATAGTAGTTCTTGACCTGCAGCAAATCCCAGAGGTTCCTAGGGCAAAGGCTCTTCGCAACGCCATGATGTAGGACGGATTGCAAGGCAGGCACATGCTCGTTCGTTGTCAAGTTCTGGATAGAGATCACCGTGTGGTAGACAGAAAGCAAGAGGACCTGCTCACTTGTAGTGCACACCAGATGGCAGCTCTCGGCCTTTACACCGAGGCCGTGGCAGCCAGCATCAAGACGAGGCAGTACAAAAAGAATAAAAGCAACCAAGCATCCTGGCAATTGCCCACAGCCAGCTACATGTCATTAGCGGTGTTGCACTGCAGTGGTCACCTCAGTAAGGACCCACACCACATCCAGGAAGCCGTAGTCTGGGCCAAACTGCTGATGTGCCTGCAGAATCTGTCTCTGCCGCACAGGCGGGCAAATTCGCTGCAAAAAGTCGCGTGGCCTGCAGGCCGTAAACGACAGTGTTCACATAGATGCACCTTACAGATACGAGAGGATTTTGTGACGCAAGCCCGGGCTTGCGCAGCTAAGGCAGCTGACAGCATCAAGAAGATCGTGGCTGAGTAGATCAAGACCACGAAATAGCGGTAGTTGTAGAGCGCCACCTGGAGTCAACGGAAACTGAATCGCTTTAAGTGCCTTGGCCCGTCGAGGAGGAAACCCGGACTCCCCTGCGAAGCTGTCGCATTCTGGCTATCTTCAACTTGAACTCTGGTGAAGGTACCTGTGAATCTGAGCGTCTGGCGCAATTCCCGAGCCATGTGCAATGGTGATCAAACCGCAGCACGCAGTTGTCACCTGGTCGGGCATGTCGCTTCAGGAAGGCAAACTTCAATATCAGAAATATCAGCTGCAAAGCATGGCGGGCACACAAAAGGAACAGTGCTTGGAGCGCGGAGGTCTGAAGATGTTGCAAGTTGAGCAGTACCTCCCCAACACACATCATCATGCACAGCGCAACGACGAAGACGACATGAGGTGTCGCACTTCTGCTTCAGTGTGATGTTGCAGATCTTCCTGAAAGACAGAACCGCTGGTAGAGCTGCACCGCAGTTTGACGGTGAGGCAGGCAAGTGTGAAGCCAAGAGGCAGGAAGCGATGGCAAGGGACACCTCGCAAGTCCAGGTGCTGTTCCAGCTCCTGCACACACGTGGCAAACTTGCTGCGAGCTTGCAGCTCTCATCTGTCTGGATGCCAGCAACAGCCAGTGACTAGAGTATCGGATGTCAGAGCAGAAGAAAGTGCATTTCGTGATGATCCTACGCTCTGATCAGAATCCAAGTTGTTCTTCAGGCTGACATCCGAGGCCTGGGGCATTTTCTCATTCCTGGGGATGATGCCAGGATTTATTGTGGCCCTTGGCAGCAAAGCACGAATCACGTTCAGGTACCTGCTGTAGATGTCTGCTCTGATGCAATGTCATCGCAGCACAAACCTGGACGTGCTCCTGAAGCGCCTGAGCTGAAGTTCGGAAGTCCAGACTAAGGCCGCGGCGAGAGGACGAAACAAACCAAAATGGTAATCCCCAAGACCTGGGCACGTTGTACTGGACACCCTAAAACCCTAAACCCGAATTAGCCTAAACTTTAAACCATAAAGCCACCTCTCAAGGAAGATTCACGGCCAGGCTTCGGCTTGCAGACGAGGCACCAGCTGCACCAGGCCAAGTGGATCTAGGTAGACGGGTCCTCGCAATTCTAGGCACTTGGGTTCTCTAAAGGACCCCAAAAAGGAGCCCTAGCTAACTAGTTTAGAGAACTTTGAACTACCCACTTAGAGGCCCAGGCTAGGGCGGCTACGGCTAGGGCCCGGTTCCGGAGTTCCGGAGGCCGAGGCCCCGAGGCCCTTTCGAGGCCCCCGCCCTCGGTGACCGCCGGCAGCTGTTCCCGCATGTACCTCAGTGCCCGTCGGAAGTCCGCATCCGCTCGGATCGACGCCTGGGAGCGGCGCCAATAACCCGGCAAGAAGGTCAGGGCCTCAGATTTCGAAGACATGAAAGTTGCCAGGCCCGAACATGAGCCGAGGGCAAAGGTTGATGCCGAGTTTGGCCACCTGCACAGAGCCATACTCCAGTTTCGATGCTCCCTCCAACCAGTGGAACATCCATACACTAGCGCCGGTAGGCATCACTCAGTGAACAGCCAGCCCTTTTGCGAGCTTCAGTGGATGCTGAGGCGGCCACAACTGCCCCAAGGCGAAGCGCCCTCCACAAAGCACCTGGCATCGGCAGCAGCACGCGCAGGAACGCTGACAGAGGCTCTAAGCGTTCAGAATTGAAGAGCTGGAAACTTTGGCCGGGAGCGCTGTGCTTGAGCCTTGGTACCTGGTGGTCAGGTATTCGTGGAAGCCTGAGCTGACGACAGATGCGACCGGCGAACTGCCACATCCCAGCAACGAAAAGACAGATGGTGCGCATGTGCTCGGTCTGCCAATCATCTTGTCCCTGCCCATTCATCTCCTGCAGCCCTTGCACGTGCGACAAATGGAGGCAACATGTCGGGAAGTGTACCTGAAGATCAGTAGCTTGCTGCTTCCGCATTCGGAGAAGATCGGAAGTTTTAAAACTTGTCGGTGCATACTTCCTTGAATCATGATCTCGATGGTTCCAAGCATTTGGATGTTGTGCACGTCATTGTGCCTGAAATTTCTTGTTTGCGGCTTCGTTTCGTTGCTCTAGCTTGGTGAACCCAGAACTGTGGATCGAAAATGTCTGCAAAAAGGATGCTCGCAGTTACACCGGAAGCAAACTCCATGTGGGCAGAGCCACTGGTTATTCACTGTTGAGAAGCATGTGGGACATTGTGGGACCGTGTGCGCTGGACCCTCATCCTGCGCTGTGGTGCCCGGCTCTTTTCGACACCAAAGATGAAGGTCAGGCCAAGCCTCGGTCAGAAAAGGTCGTGCCAAGGAACGTCAAAAAGAGGAAAAGGTCCCGGGTCCCGGCTTCGGTGGTGGCTCCTTTATGCGAACGAGGTCGCAATACCTCGGGGAAGGAGTCACGATTTACGCTTGGCACAAGGGTGGCACAGAAACTCCGTCGTCTTTTCACTCGCTGCAGTTAGACCCCCAGCTAGGCCCTGTGGCCAGCTGTGGTGGGGGGTCCGGGTGAGTTGCCCTTCCAAGCGATTTTTTTCACTTGCTGGCACCGTAGTCCGCCTCGGCTTCTGCAAAGTGATAGAAAGCGTGCGAGGTCTCTGGGCAGTCTGGAATAATCAAGGCCATCTGAGTTGCTGCAGCGGGCGACGCATCTCCTGTTAGGTGATCCGAGGTGGCCCAGCTCAACACCTGCCAGATGTTGAGCGACTGTAAGATGAGATCGGATGACTGTCGAAGTAAGACGCACTGCAAACAGTCACAAGCGGATGGCCTTCCAACCGCCTCCCGGCTGAACCCGAAAGCGGCTGATGCCTCGGCAGTTCGCTCCCCGTCTCTCGCCTCGAGCGCCTGAGGCCTCTGAGGTTGCTGCAGGCATTTGTTGGCGTCGCCCGTGGCTCTTGAGAGTTTGGTTCAGAGTGGCGCAGCAGTTGGCCGAGAACGCCACCATGCGTTACCTGAGACGCTGCTCACGATTCCATCAAGCTGTCAGTGTCACGGCTGCCGAGGCACCGCGATGACCAGTCCGCACGTGGACGCTTGGCACGCCTGGTGCAGACTTTCAACGGCACATTCCTGAAGGTAGAATGATGCAGGGGTCGCTTTAGTTAGTTTAGAGGTTGGTGGCCCGGGATGGGCCTCAGTAGACACCAGACAACACACGTGACATCTCTGGCCTCCTCGATGCAAAGAGCCGCCCGCTGGCGCACCTCCTCCATGCTTTCCTCGCAGCTGGAACTCGCACTTGAAGCAGCACTAGCACAACACTAGTCACTAGCAAAAGGCAAAAGCCAGTCAAGACTAACAGTGCCCGTGACTCAAATCCTGACCTTAACGTAATTTAGCAAGGTGTGGTGCTGCAGCAGTATGGAACAGGCTCTGAAAACAAGTTCGTGTTGC